GTTTGCATGTCTGCTCAAAACGGTAAGAGCCAGAACGAAGCCAAGGGTGGAAGTTGTTTTTCTGCCCCCTGTGGAGAGTCTGGGGCTGCATGTGTGCACGCCTGGGGCAGCCTGGGGCCATCGGAGGGGGCCCAGGGAGCGTTGGAGGGAGGGATGAAGCTAGAGTGGAACGGAGGGATGGAAGGTCAGCAGGGGTCTTGCAGGGAAAGGTGCCCATCTGGGCTAACAGCCAACCAGAAAGGTGGAACGGAGAGTTAGATGGTCGGATCGCGGGAACAGCAGTGCAGGAAGGAAGCTCACGGGGAGGTGTGGAGAGGAAGACGGGCAGAGAGGAGAGTTCAAACCCAAACACGTTCACGTGCAAACAGCTCTGAAACTTCTGGTCCCTTTGGAATATTCAAACACACATTTTCTTAATTTCAGTTTTACTGCGACTGTTTATTTCATGTTTCCCACATTTAGGATGTTGAGACGTAGCTGCGGGTCGGAGGAGGTTTTAACTCCTGCAGCAGCAGCTCTGGGAAGTGAAACCCGTTTGCTGCTACCAGCTGAGCTCCTTTGATTCAAACATCAAAGCAACAGAGAAAGCATGACCTGCATAGGCTGGATCTCCTTTTCTGGCATTTTACAAACATTTTCATCCTCAACAAACTAACGAACCAAATGTTGCTGGTTTCAGCTTTCCCAACACTTTCAGCATGAAACCTGTTGCTGGTTTTTATCGGGTGCACGTTTCAGTGTTTCTGCTGAGGGTTCATCGTCATGTGGGTGATCATTTTACATGATTCCTCATCTCATTAGGAAACACGCCATCATGCTCCCTCCTCAGACAGGAACACACCTAAATACTGCAGAACGCCTTGTCAAAATAAAAGCTTCCAGGGAGCTGGGTTGCTTAATCGTTTATTTGGAAATACATTCATTAATACTTTAAATATTCTGTGAAACCAGAAATATCCAGAGCTCCTGTTTTAAGGACACTGCAGTTACTGATTTCTGCCAGTGGGTGTCAGAGTTGAGGCTGCAGACAGATACAAGCTGCTATGGAAGCCTGGCTGTCCAAACAGGAAGTGAGTAAACATAAGGAGGATTTGCGCCTGAGGAAGTGGGCGCTGTAAGGGAGGGAGGAGTTCACCTTTACCAAATCTTTATTAAAACTTTGTCCATGAAAAGGTTTTACTACAAGCTGCACTAGATCATGTCCAGCCCCCCCCCCCCAGGTTCGATCCCGGCTCCCTCCAGAGACTGCCGCTGTTGTGTCCTTGGGCAAGACACTAACCCACCATTCCTGCTGTTGGTGGTCGGAGGGACTGGTGGTGCCTCGCCTCGCCTCTGTCGGAGAGCACCAGGGCAGCTGTGGCTACATCGTAGCTCATCCCCACCAGCGTGTGAATGGGTGAATGAGCAATTGTGTTATAAAGCGCCTTGGGGGGTTGTTGAACCCTAAGGAGGCGCTATTCAAATATAGACCCTTTTACCATTAATAACTGGTGGTGGAGTTTGGGTGACATCATCACCAGCGAATGACATTTATATACTCAGATTTTCTGTTTGTGTGTGTGTGTGTGTGTGTGTGTGTGTGTGTGTGTGTGTGTGTGTGTTGGTGCTTGAACAACTACTCTGATCGGTGTGTCTGTCTCTTCATTAGTGTTTTACCAAATCTGTGTCCTCCGCATGTTGTCTCGCTGTCTGGCCTATTAGAGAGGCATGCAGGAGGGCCTCTCTCTCTCTCTCTGTGTGTGTGTGTGTGTGTGTGTGTGTGTGTGTGTGTGTGTGTGTGTTCAGGTAGACTCAGGCGGTCTGTTTAGTTATTTTCTGATTTATTTATTTTTTCAGACCCCCGGGTTCTTTCCTTCACTCTCCTCCTTCATCCAACCATTTTCCCCTAGTTCTGTCTGTCCATCTGGAACGTCCCCCCTCCTCTCCCTCAGTCCCGTCCAGGCTGAGACACGGGGGTGAAGGCCAACACCAGTAGGGGAGGAACTGCTGGAGACATGGGGGGGACAGAGGGAGAGGAGTCGGAGTTATAATGAGTAACAACATGAAAGGTGATGGAGGGAGGGAGGGAGGGAGATGAAGACAGAAGAGGAGTGGGACTGCTGAGGACAGAGGGAGGGATGAAGAATAGAGAGAATGGATCAGAGAGGAGAAGAACACTTTCTCCACTCCCTCTCCACCCACCCTGTCTTCTCTCCTCTCAAGGACCCTTCTCTAATTTAACTTTTCATTGAAATTTTCTCCACCCCCTCCCTCCCTCCCTCCCCCCTCCTCTCCCAGTCCTCCAGTTTCTCCCAGTTTGCCGTTCGGCCTTGTCTTGCCAGGTCCCCTTGTGGCCGACTGACAAAGGCGCCGTTAAAAAGCCGTGTGATCCTCCATTTTAGCGCCAGCCACGCTAGTCAGAGGATTAGGGCTCTTTAATGATGCTAATCCCCCCCCCCCACCCCCCCCACCCCATCTCCGTGTCGTCTCTCTTCCTTCACTCGCTCACCTCATCCTGTTGAACTTGTGACCATTTCACTTCTCCTTTTAAAACACCTTTGAATCTGTTTCTTCATCTGAAGTTGAAGCATCTGGTTGCAGCAGCGTCTCTCATCTCTCCGGAGCTATGGATGCATCCCGTTGCTATGGCAACGGGGGGTGTCTGGACCAGCATTTGTGGGCGCCGTAACACCGCTCTTCCAGATGGTCCGTTTATGGGTTTGGTTCAGTTACAGCAATGTAATCCTGTCCCCGGTAACTTTTACAGGATCTGGGTCTGGCTAAGGATGCCGAAGCCTGGCCAGCCATCCTATCTATGTGAACATATGTCTGGCCGTGGTCTGTCGACGGCTCTCTAACCCCACACACGACATAAAATAATGCATCGTTTTTCTGAATAAACGTGCGTGATTGGCCAGCCGCAACGCTGGCCGGGGCTGCGAGGTTCCAGTGGAGCGTCAAGGTTGCTTCTGCAAATGACGCCCAGATTCTAGTGATGCCACTCAGAGTGGGCGGAGTCTCTAAAAACGTGGTGAATTTTATTTTATGCCATAAAAGATGTCATTCTGATGTAAAGGTTATGACATCACATCTGCGACAGAGACGCTGGTCAGGTCCTGGCACTCCGACGAAAGAAGTTCCTCTAGGAAAACATGCAGCCAGGTTTTATTTATGTATGGATGCTCGGTAAAAATTCACTTTACCATTTTTTCCTAACCTCGAGGAATGACGCTCAAATGTGACATTGTGCAGCTCTGTTCCTGGAGATTCCCAGCCCGGCATGCCGAGCTCGCCCTCTGTCTATTCTACACATACTCTTCCCATAAGGAAGCATTGGCGTGGCCGGCCAGGCTAGGGGGTGCTCGGCCACACTGCTGCTGGTGCGTTGCAGGAGTGCCGTTACGATGCTCCTCTCTGTGGGTTTCTGGGAAAGGAGGCGTTGCGTGGAGACATCTGAGGTGACGCTCTAAGTCCGATCCACGCAGTTTCCCCTCAGGAATGCGATCTCCGGTTAAGCGAGACCCCGACGGCCCTCTCTGGAGGGTTGGTCAGAAGTCCAGGTAGATCCTGCAACTTCCTGGATTAGTCCCATCACCAGGAAACAGATCACACTCCGGTAGGAAGAAGTTAAAATGCTCAGATCTTTACTTTTCTATATTTAGCTGAGACAGCCGGTGCGAGGGGAGCTGCCTGGTCCAGAGAGGAGGAGGGAATAAAATGTTTCTGCTTTTAAAATGAGGTTTTAATAAAGAGAGCAGTGAGAAACCTTCTCAGGCTCTGGATGCAGACCAGCATCTGTAACAGCTGCATTCATTCACTCACCCCTCATGTGTTTCACTTATTCCTCCTTTGAATAAAAGTTCTTCCTGATTCCAGTCGGGCTCATAACTCGGGAGTGCCCCCTGCAGAGCTATGTTTGCCCATCGCAGCGGCCATGTTTTCACTGCCATCGATTCATCCCACAAATGTCCTTCCCACCATGTAACCCGCCGTGGTCCAGGTCCTCCTGCAGGGTGGAGGTCTGGCGGTTCGGGTGGAACCGTGCGTTCTTTAGAAGCCGTGGGTCTGAGCTTTCCTGCCTCATGATGACTTTGGGCTGAAGCCTGGTCCCATGTCTCCCTCCTTCTCCATCCCGTCGCTCCAGATTTTCCACGTCTCCCTCTCAGATTGGTTTCCGTTGGAGCTGATGCAGCTATCAGATAAGAGAAGATGACAAACAGCCTCTGCTCTCTTTACACTTTCCAGACGAATGCTAAACAGCTCCAGCGTGCTGCTTCAGAGCGCACAAAGAGGAGCGGAACAATATCAAGCATTATTCAGCCCCCCCTTTTGTCGCCTCAAATCCATTCTGAAGTGTCTATTAAAGGAGTTGTGGCCTTTTTGTCGCCTCTGTGCACGACTGCAGGGGGGGGGGGGGGGGGCATAATCTCCTCTGTATGACAGATAAAGGGAGAGAGTATCGCCATCTTTCTGCTCTGTTCTCTGCGTCTCCTAATCGCTTTTCTGACGTTTCAATCTGCCAAGGCCCTAATGAAAATATGATGAGGCGGATCTGTGGTCCTTGGGGATGGA